GGAATGATAAGATAATAAACAGTAGGATAAGGGAATATCAGTCATGGGCAACAGCAGGTCCCTGGTCACCACGTTTGTCATCTTTCTTTGCCTCCTCTTTGCCTGGTCAGAGTCTCAGATTTTCATTTGCTGTGGAATCAATTTCTCCTTTGGCTGTCTTCTGGGTCATAACTCACCAGTTTGAACTGTCTGCTTCTGAAGTACAATCTAAATGAGACTTGCAGCTTTCCTATGGCTAGGTCCCATCTTCCTGTGCTAAATTCCTGACAACCAATGATTCTTAAGAGCTGTCTATCTTTTGACAGGCAATATTTTTTTCTGATTAAAAAGAAACCCTGTTACTGTTCTATAATTACTTTAGTTGCAGTTATCCCAACTCACCCCTCCTTTTAGGCATAGGTTTGCCCTCAAAGAAGTGTCAACAAACCATCAATAAACCTTGCTGTTCCATAGTGGCTTACGGAAAAAGAAGGGAATGCTCCCAGCTCTTCCTGAAATACATTCAAAACAATATTGACTGAGTGCTAGCAAAGTATGCTTGCTTCTCTGGCGCTCAGGAAGTTTATGTCTGACTTTAATTCCAAATGAGCACGCGCCATCAAACCCAGACATTCCAATCCACAACACAGGTTCCAGCACTTTGGCCCTTAGCTGCTGCTTTTTAGTTGCTAGAGATTCTCTACTTCTGCTTAACTCTCTTCTCTAGACATACAAGCTAACCAGAATTTCCCCGGTTCTATAATAAAAAAGAAGAATAAATTAACGTGTGTAGTGCTTCAAGTGTGGGGATAGGGGGAGTAGGGAGCCTCTTAATGTAGACAACAGGTCTGAATTTACACTTCTGCCCTCCCTTCTCTCTGGCCATACAGTTTATGCACTCCTAATCATGAGTAGCCAGACTGAAGGCTTTATTATCACCAATATGTGTTATGTACACAACAGCTAGCACATTGTAATGATGGACTCCATTTGCAGGAGAAGCAAAATTGAAAAAGAAAATGGGCATATTACAGAGGTATATACTGAACTAGTGTCATTTCTTTTTTGACAGCGTTGCTGGAATGGTAAATCAAAGAATGCCAGGGTGTGTCAGGATTTCAACAAAGTGACCCATGATACTTTTTTTAGATGAAAAGGAGAAATGTGGGCAGAATGATAGCATGCTCTTTTCCGGTTGAGCAACCATGCTCAAAGATGGCTGATGAAGAACTGTTTTTCAATACAGACAGGGTTCTACAAAGGGCTTGCCACAGAGCTTTGTGTTTGCTCTAGGCTTTGGTGTGGGAACTTGACGTCATGTGTTCTTGAAGCTCCACAGATGATTCCAATGTGCAGCCAAGGAGGACAGCCGCTAGTACAGGATAGGCGGGTCACATACTATCCTAAATACTGTTTCAAGCCTTCAGATAATCTCTTCCTGATACCGATAACTGGCTTCCAAAGACCCGGTGTTTGATACGGTTTCACAGATGCTTAAAGCAAGGGTGGAAAGAGAACACTTAAAGTTCATCTCAACTAGGATAAAGGTCTGGAGAATTACACAGAAAAAGGGCTTCATCCACAGGGTCCAGGAGGGACCTCAACTGGATGTCACTGAGACGTTTCACAAACACCAGAGTCCCTCAAAAGCCATTGACAAGAACAGCCCCATTATGTGGAATGAATGCCAAGTTAATAAAGAGGCACTCTCTTAGTGCTGAGGAATAAAAACAACAACAACAAACCAAAGATTTGTTTTATGGAAATGATTGTGCCTCCTTATTTAGAATCAGGTCATTATAATCACAGGTTTATAAAAAGATAACTTCAAGTTAACACAAAAGTTGGGGAGACGAGCAGTGTACCAACGTTTGAGTTGCATGTCCACAGGGAAAGTTCGATTTTAACTCCAGTCACTTTGGCAAATAAACAGAACAGGGCACTTTATTATTGGAGGCTTCACTAAAAATGTCCGTGGGTCACAGAACAAGGCATCCGAGGCCAATTATGTTGAGTGCAAAGACTTCAGGCAGTGAGGAACTTGTCTCTTCTCTGTCTCTGGAAGGGTACCAACCTCATAACATCGGCACAGTTAATAACTCTCTGACCTTTAAAAGGCATTTTATGCGCAAATTAGGTCAATTAGTACAGAGCAATTTACATAAAAAAAAATCCCAACCGCTTTATAACTGGGGGGAGGGGGGGAGTCGCTAATTCCTTGCATCAGTGGTATGTTAACAGGCAATATTTCAAGAGGGTTTGCTCAGTTCCAATGGACACAACAAAGACACAAAAAAAGCCACAGTGAAATGCAAACAGCCTCCGAATGTACAGCCCCAGATTTTACCTTTAGCCTCTGCTGCTCAGTGTTACCTGTTCATGGTCATTTATACTAAACTGTGGAGGACCCTCCACTGCTCGAAGGGATGTGAGTATAGTCAGTGTGGAAGGGAAGTTCTTGGGGGAAGTGGGGAATCCAATCTCCCTTCATGAATGGGTAAAAAGTATTCTAAGGATTCTTTCTCACTTTTCTATTGATATATAAATCCCCTCCCCCATTCTCCTTACAATGAGCTACACACTGTGCTAGGTGTTTACATGCATTATTTCATTTAGTTTTCACACTAACTCTGCAGGAGAGATATTGTCCCCATTTTACACACAGGAAACAGGCTTATAAAGGTTTTGAATGACTTGCTGAAGGTCACAGAGCTGGCAGGTTGTGGAGCCGAGACCCACCCAGTTTTGCCTGACTCTGTGGGCCAAATGCTTTTCATATCAACATGCTAGCCTTCACTCTACCACTCTGTCTCCCTTCCACTTCCTTCCTTTTTTTCCTCCTCAAAGCCCAAAGAGGTGGATGAGTGGTGGTCTTGGAAGGATTTTAAAGAAAGAAGGGCTAAGCCAGTTCTCTTTTATACCTCTCCCAAAGTTCTGCGATTTTCAGTTTCCCCACATATGGCCTGGTCACCAGGATTCAAGAAAACACGGGCTTCCAAGAGGGTCATGGTATATCTTTTTCTGTCCAATCTCTCCAGGGTTTCAGTGACTACATTTTTGAAATTCCAAATAAGGGCATATAGCCGGGAACACTGGCTTTTATTTAAGCGAACGTGAGGACAACATATCTAAAGTCAAAACTTAAAAGGTCCTTGTGGCGCCTGGCAGACAGATAGAGGGCCGGCACCATACGGACTTGGTGACTGAGTCATTGGAGGTTGATCACACACGGAGAGTAAATCTTTGTCCGTGGAATGCAACCGGGTGGTCTTTCTGACGAATCTTTGTGTTACAGCCTTAATGTAGGCTTCCTGAACCTGGTGGCTTGTTAATCTACAAGTACTTATTTAGATACAAGGCTGTGGATCCTAAGAGACAAGCTGTTAATTATTAGCTCTAATCCTAGGCTAGAAGATGCCCATAAAGATTAAAACTTGTTTCCTTTTTTCTAACGATTAACAGCCTAGCTGAAGAGCGATCAACTGTAATTGGGGAACGAAGAAGGTAATAAATGCATTACTGAGACCAGTTGCTTTACAGAGCCATTGATTTAATCCTTAAATTTTGCAGGTTGTAAATTACTCATTAGAAGGCAGAAAGCAAAATAGCCATAATCCGTTTAGTGCCTCCAAACTCCAAAGGCTTAGAGGAGGAAATCCATGGAAACAAGAGACCTGATGTGTTCTTTCACTGCTACTTCTTAATGGGCAAAGGTGGTTAAACAATAAGGACAAGCCCATGTAATTACCCTGATGCACTGGTCCATAGGTCAGGGGTGGGCTTGATTCAATTCATGGAGGGCTGACCCACAAACAGTGGGAAAATGCCCCTTCTTTTTCCACTCAGCCGCATCGTACCTCCAGATTGTTTCATGAGACCAGAGCAATAGCCCATAGCATTCATTAGGGCATTCACTCCTATCTGTCATTTTCTAATCAGTGCTGGGACTAGGACAAGAGGCCAAGTACCAGAGAGAAATTAGAAGAGGGCGAAGAGGAGGCTGTCCCCCTCTCCATACATGGGGAATGCAGCTCCCAATTACAAAATGTTCAACTGCAAAATAACTAGATCATTAGTCTGTAGGTTTCTTTACATGTACAGAAAGCCACACATATTTGGCTTGAATATGGATCTTATAAGCTTAACGTGTAAACACTTAACCATTTACTAATGGATTTTGTATACTAAGGGTAAAATTCAATTTTAGACTCTTAGTGGTAATGAAGCAAACAGTATGCAGCATGCCTTTGGCGCTGGCACTCTGCATGGGTTTTGAGATCAGAATTTGAATCAGTGCATATTTCCTTTTCTCAATAGTGTGATGCCCTTTATATATTGGGTATATAACATAGCTTCTGGCTCACCTTTAGGCTTTATTCAACAAAACAGCTACTGGCTCACTTCTGTACTGAGCAACCTCTGATTCTGCAGTAGCAAACTGAGTTACCCAACACAAACGATTTCCATTCATTTTCTACTTGACAGTCTAATAAAGTTTGTGATTTCACCAGGCTGGTGCTGTGTCTATCTTGTGTTCCATTCACTACCCACCATGTTGCTGCTGCTCAATAAATCATTACTGATAATGAAACAAAATTTAATTTAAAAAATTATAGCTGTTCTGGAAATGTGTTTATTTACTTTGTTAGAGTAATTATAAAGTGAGTGTTTCCTAGATAGATCATTTAACCATGGCGTGTGATGAAAATACTGTTTTCTTCCCACATCTTGCTTTAAAAAAAAAGCTACATTTTTTTTTTAACAGCAGAAAGCTATACTAAAGAATTTTAAAGACCCCTGGCATTAGAAATAGTGATATCGAAGCATTTGAAAAACCTGTTGAGACATCTTAAGAGAAACAGGAAATAACTCATAGTAATTTTGAAAATTATAACTTGAAGCTTCTAGGTCACTTGTCCCATGAAAGACCCCGTTCTGGCCACTTTTAGTGGAGACAAGAAATGACATTTGGCTTTTTCCCTTTCCTGGGGATGAAGTAATTGAGTTTTCTCTCGACTTACCCTGAGTGGATTTTCATTAAGGTAAGGGGGTTCACCTTCTACCATTTCAATCGCCATAATCCCCAGAGACCAGATATCAACTTTTGGACCATAAGCTTTTCGAGTCACCACCTCAGGTGCCATCCAATAGGGAGTTCCCACCATAGTGCTTCGTTTACTTTGCTCAGGGGTGATCTGGGCACAGAACCCAAAATCAGCTGCAGAGAAGAAAAGTCAGTTAAAATCAGCTCAAATTATTTTTCTTTTACAAGAGGTCACTTTCAGACATGGCCATGCTTTCCTTTAGTTAGACTCTGAGCTTCAACAACTGCCTGGCTCATATCCCTTTGTTACCTGACCTCTCAGCTGATCCAGATTTTAAACGGGTCTGAAATAACCGACTGATGTGATGTCACTTTTACTAGACCTCAATCTGGTTCCCCCCCCACACACTGTTCCCTCTAACTTACGGAATCTTTTAGTTTTCTAATTAGATATTTGTCATCCAGCAGATGGAAGCCATTAGAAATTCTGAACTATCGAACCCCCTAAATCTGGTCACGATCTACGGGAACACAACATTAGAAAAATTCTTTACCTCAAACTGGGCTCTAAATGCCTTCAAACCCAACCCTTTCAATAGCCCTTTTCTTCTCAAGATAGACAGTAAAACAGTAGAAATCCCCTGACACTCTCTCAAATGCCATCTGAACCATAATACCTACTCAATTTAACAGAGCCATCCATCCCAAGGAGAATATTGTCACTCTTTATGTCTCTGTGGATCACTTGGTTTGAGTGCAAGAAATCCAAAGCTTGGAGGCACTATTGAATCAGGAAAAAAAAAGTTCTAATTATATCACAAAAATTTGTTTAGATGTGCTTCATTTCTAGATAAATTTTGGGCAAGGGTATAATTTTATGTTGTTGGGTGAAATAAATCACTAAAGGTTTTCAATGCCATTTTGAAATCATGTTACCATTTACATCAGTGATGCAACTTGGCGTTATACATGTGAAAGCTCCCGAATCAGACTTGGACGTGAAGAGTGATGGTGTGATAAGTAGCACTAAATCATTAATACAGCCAAATGAACCAATTACTATAATCATACTTTGACTTACTTATCTGGAGGATATGGATTCAGCTTGGTCTTTTACAGATACAGTAAGCATCTGCATCTGTGGTGTGATTTCATGTAGTAGGTCTGGAGTGGAACCCTGGAGTCTGCATTTAAAACAAGTGCCCCAAGCTATTTCTGATGGACCAGCCGCCAGGTTTGGGAACCACTTCTAGGCGCTGAAGTAACTATAGGTACTTGTTTGGAAATGGCTTTGCATTGTAATACTAAAAGACGGAAACCACAGGCTAAAGGTTCAAGAATCCCCTGAATATTTTAAGTTTGGTTAATTGCATGAATGGGAAATATATGAGTTTGGTGGATATGTGTGCATACTGGGAAGGAGGAAATTTAAGTGAACAATTTAAAATAAAAAAACAACAAAAGACCAGCTGGAAGTATTTGGTTTTGTTTTACTATCATTGATTTTCAAGTTTCAGTGGGGTCAGAGTTCCTCCCTGTGTCTATAGAAAACCTCAGCGAATGGGGTAGAGGGTAACACCCAAGATGAGACTCCAATGAGGAGTGTTTGTTTTCTCTTTTAATATTGAAAAAATTAATATAGTAAAATATCCTTCGTTTAGCTTGAAACTAGGGATATGCCACTGTTATTGGAAAAGGGGCAGACACTCAGACTCACTGGAGGGCTCCAAGGGAGGTGAAGATTGTACCATGAAAGCAACTACTTTCTGGACTGAGGGAGGACCTTGTTTAAACTGCCTTCTAGAAAATGATTGGATTATAATGTGGTCTATATTATACATGGATTACATTGCACATGCAAGGCAAAATAACGGTCATGTAAAAATTCCCCCCAGTCAGAAAGAAGTTCCATGCCAACATTACTGTTTTCCATATTCACCAAGACTCCAGCATGCAGGCTTAGATATGGCACCTCGTGAATGGCATGATAGAACTCAAAAAGATCCACAGCAAAGCAACTAAAATAAACAAAGGGGCTGGGGAGGGAGGGTTAGGATTTAAATTGGAGTTAGGATCTTCAATTGTTTTTCAGTACAAAAGATGTACTATTGCTACTTTGATGTTACAAACATTCTGAATAATCAAAGATAAAAAACTGTCAGTCTTGGTGTTCTCATCAACCAGAGAAATGTTCTATTTTCTTACCTCTCTGCAGACGGCTGCTATCTGTCCTTCATCCATACAGGTCTCTGTGACCACATCAGTCAAAGAGCCACCAGCCAAGTATTCCATGACTACCCATAGTTCATCACCCACTAAGTAGCTACAACGAGAGAAGAAAAAGACGTTGACTCGGGCCTAAGGAAGTGGAGACCCTTCTATATTTCCATTAAGAAGGGAATGTGCAGTTAGTCTCTGCATTCGGTCATATTACATAACAAGAGGAAAATATCAATAATGCGTATGAGACACTTCCTTAACATTAGAAGAGAATATGCATGGAAATCGAAGGATCATCAGATAAAAGCGCACCATGGAAGGAAGGAAAAGAGCAAGGAGGCCTCTGGTGACTGACTACTGTCAATCCTTCCATTGTAAAAAGCTAGTTTCAATGAACAGGATCAGTAAATAGCCCTTTTGGATAACTCAAGTCACAGTGTTGATTTCTTGGACTGAACTGACCCATGGCATACAGTTTTACAGGATAATTTATTCAGATCTCAGCATTATTTTTGATTCTACTCAATTAATTACTGAAATCTTTTCAGGTAGTGGCTGAATCAAAGAGAATCAAAGAGACTCGTGTTGGCAATGGATTTACTGGGCTGAGGTCTCCGTTCTGATAGAAGTCAGTTATGACATGCCCATTATCTTTAAGTAGTTGTTGAGGGACACAGCCCAAGTGATCAAATATGGAGAGGCAGGTCACCAGAGCAATGTGGGCAAATTCAAACCCCTGGGATCATCTGAAGGCACTTTAGCAGTATGATCAGGTCTCTCTCTTCCCCTGCTCAGCAAGAGAGAGAAATTACAGTGAATGGAATGACCCCAACAATTCTACCCTGCCCCCAGCTTGACATCAGTATGAAGCAAGCCTTTCTATTCAGTGGTGCTCGAACTGCAGTGCCCATAAGACTCACCTGGGAAGTTTGTTCAAAAGGAAATTTCTCATTAAAATTCTCATTTCATAAAAATGAAATATCTCATTAGTTATGGAGAACAGCCTAGAAATCTGCATGTTTTAGAAATGCAGTTTTTACAAAATTACAAAAGTAGAGTGAAGTCACTCTGCTGCAGATGGTCCCTAAATGACACTGTATGAAACCCTGGTTTCGACTATAAAACCTGACCCTCCTTCGTTTTGCCCCCCTTTTGCCTCCTTCTGTACCACTGGTCTACTTGGCACAAAACACAGAAAGCAAGATCTTGAACTCACTGAGGTTGTAGACCTGGCCTTGTTTCCTTTGCATCCCCTCAGAGTACACAGCACAGTGGCGCTAAACAAACACTTATTGAAACTGAATGAGGCAGATGTTGAACCACAAATGAAGTTAGTGCTGTCTTTAAATGCCTATTAATAACCCACTGCTAATACCACTGATGAAAGAGACATTAATTACCCGGTCTAGGAAAAAGGTTTGAGATTAAAGTCTCAATTCCCTAGACCTCACTGTCAATTCATCACAAAACACCCATGAAAGCAGGGCCATTGTAGTCTGCCTCCTTTACTTAGATAGCCAGAGACTGCACTGACTCCAAACAAACACTTGATGAAACGTTTAAAACACCACAGCTCTCTCCTATATGCAATAGTCTATTTCGTGGCAATAGGGGGTCACAATCCTCAAAAGGAAATTACACAAACTGCTCATGTTTAGAAGCAAGACCATAAAATGTGTCTTCAAGTGTTTAATGCGTGGACACAGATAACGGGGTGCAAGTTTAGCAATAGATCTGATACTCAATATTTTGTAGCATTTGAGAACTATTTGTAGAATGGATGCTAAATGAATAGATCCTAAATAAAAATAATTGGCCAAGAAAATGATATCCCATAAAGAAAACAAGTACATGACGAGAGAAAACACTTACCTATCTAAATAATTAACAATATTGGGGTTCTTATTTTCCCTCATGACCAGAATTTCATTAATAATTAATTCCTTTTTGGGTTGCTGTTGAAGGTTCATCTGCTTTATGGCCACCTGAATAATGATTAAAATGCAAGAATGAATTACCATCATCTGACTAAACACAAACATCCATATTTTTTGGAAACAGTGTCAGGCATACAGATTCTTTATTTTACTAAGCTCTTCCTCGATGCCACAAACCCATGCTCCTTTTCTTTGGTCAATCATGAACTCGTCATTCACTTGAGATACTTTGGACACCAGTGAAGTAAACATATGTCAACTCAGTGCTACCCATTTTTTCAGGCACAGATGCCATCAAAGAGGAATTCTGATCAATATGAATAAAGGAAAGTAGAAGTCAGAATTGAATGTTAACACTTACCTCTTGTCCTGTGGCAATGTCTAGCGCTGTATAAACAGTACCTGATGCCCTGTGAAGGTGAAAATGATCAAATGAATAAGCAATCAAAGTGTTATCAATATATTTCATTTGGAATTACATGTAATCATTTTCAGGAGAGGGAAATCAGAAAACTCAAGGTTAAGGATGGAGTACAAAAGGAACAACCATTTTGTATAGTAATTGCTCCCCAAACTATCATGATGCATCTCTTTTGGTGGGCCAGGAGTTCCAATCAGATTTTCTGTGTGCCACGGAACTAGGCAGTCATAAATTGAGCAAAATGGCCTTGTTCCTTTCAGGAAACTCCTGGAATATTTTGAACACTCCTTGGATATTGCACAACCAACACTGCAGTCCTTGATTAAATGCCTTAGGAAAGATTATATCATCTTTTGCTTAGGCAACTGTAAATTAATCTTTGATTTTAACATATGGACAGAGTGGCTTTTTTCATGTATTTCTAATGCTTAAGAATATCTTCGTCTAACAAATTAATCACTCCCGGTACAGGTACTTACTGCACTTACCTGCACTGTAGCTATACAAAGCAATAACAATGTGGCTTTATTGTTGAGCCATTTTTTTCTTTTTGTTAAATTTCGCAACAGCTTCTATGCTTAGGTTTCAGCCCACTCCAGCCCACTATTGTCTTAAAATCTATCATTCCTTAAGTCTTAGTAGTACTCACGCTTCTATTCTAACTTCAATTACGGGGTTCCCTTGCTTTGAAAATAGAAATTGTCCAGTAAAGCGGAATTCACAGTAACTTCCTGTGAAACACACATGCATTCTGAACCACCTCCCTACCCCATCCCCATGAAAGAGGAAAAGCCTAGTCAATTGCACTGAAACATTTGTGGTGAATAAAGGAATTAGGATAGAGATCAGTTCTATGATTCAGCAGGCATTGTAATGCTGCTACAGTTAAGAGCTAAACTTTCTGGTAATTGCTGTTTCTCCTTTGCTTTCTATTTATCTCCCTTGCTGTTTTGTTTTCTGAGTCCAGGAAGTCTTTCCTCATGTCACGCATTTCCTTGTTATTATTCTCCCTTCTCCCTGGATCGGCCAAACTACCTCTCACAGGCCTAGGAAGTTTACGTTACCTGCTCCTAGGGAATAACATGGGTGGCGTAGTAGAAGGAATATTTGCCTGCTAACAGAGATCTGAGTTCTAATGTTTGCCCTAATATCAACAAGCTATATGATCTTGAGGTAGTCACTTCCCCTTTCTGGGTTTCCGTCCCCTCACTTGGAATATAGTGATCACGGTAACAGTAAACGTGTATTGAGCATGTTGGGCGTGTCAGGTACTACACTAAGAACTTAATCTTATGCAATCCTTACCATGTTTCTGTAAGGCAAGTGCTTTTACCCCCATGTTACACATGAGGAACCTGAGGCTCAAAGAGGTTAAGTAATCTGCCCAAGGTTACATAGTTTAACATCCAAGTCCATCTGACTCTCTGACCTATAAAATACAGGAAAGGGGCTATTTTATTTGTAAGGTTCTTTTATTCCACGGTCTAGACTCTAAGAACTCTACTGTCCTCCCCACTCGGTGTGGGTATTTAAATATCTATTAGAATGAGAGTGAAAAATCACAATTAACAGATGCTACCTAAATTTGGTAATTTCAGACATCCCTTAGGATTGAGGCTTATATTAAACAAATCAGTCTCAATTTTATGTTTGAGATTCTGGGTTCAGAGCACATATTTGGTGCTCAAGAAGTATTTGTTCAGTGAACAAACTAATAAAAGTCTTTGCAAGCAAACATGTAATTGAAGTAAAACCGTTCCTTTCTGTGAAGGAAACATTTCTTCTACTTAAATCTACAGATAAGCTATCAGACATTCCTGATTTCAGGGGCCAGTTTGTGATTTGTCCTTCTGAATTCAGAATTGCCTGGGTTCAAAGGAATAGATCACCTCAACCTGGTGTGTATTTCAGCTGCATAAGCCCTGAGCAACTACTTAAATCTATTTGCAGAATGATTCAAAAATGCCTTTACTTGGTTTATGCCTATATCTGTAGCCAACTTGCACAATTCCTTCCGAGGCAAAAAAAGTGATGGCATCTGCAAAATGAGCACCTATCTCATTGGGCTACAGAGAATCGAATGGCACAATCTATATAAGCATTTAGCTTTTTGCCCAGATCAGAGCTGATACTTAATAGGGTAACTGCTATTTTAAAAAATTTTAAATTTTATGTTGAAGTGTAGTTGATTTACAATGTTGTGTTAGTTTTAGGTGTACAGCAAAGTGATTCAGTTATACATATACATGTATCTATTCTTCAGATTCTTTTCCCATATAGGTTATTACAGAATACTGAGTAGAGTTCCCTGTGCTCTACAGTAGGTCCTTGTTGATTATCTATTTTGTATACAGTAGTGTGTATATGTCAATCCCGAACTCCTGAAGGTGGGGGGAGATGGCAACTGCTATTATTATCATTTGTCACTGCCACTGCTGTTATTGGTTTCACAGTAAAGGATGACTGATTTACTGAGTCGTTAGTTGGCCCTTCCCAATCTCCCAGCCAAAACATCCTTGCCAGTGTCTGCCCCTATTTTCAAAAAGGACAAAGGCCAAAGCTGACCTATTTGAACACTTTTTGGAGCTCCTCCGTCCTTTCTACCCCCCCCCCTTAGAAAAGTGGTTTTGCCTTTTTCTTTAAGTATGGAATGTCTTTATCAAATGAAGCCACACGCAGAAACCCTCAATATAAAATGGGAGCTGCTCAAGTTAAAGCTAGGGAGGGAAGCTCCCAATTCCTGCCCAAGTGGCCTTCCCCTTGTTCAACTCCTCTGCCGCCCACCCCCAAGTCCATTTCCACTGGCCGAGGAGCTAAAATTGTGATTGACTTAGAGTACAAGGGGGATTAGTCTTTAGCATCTCCAGAGCTTTACCTTTCAAATCCTTGGTTTTTTACTCCCCACCTCCCTCAGCATTTCATTGTCTTAAAATTGTTAGAGTACTAACCCTGAAATCCCAATAGCCAGGGTTTTATGGCATTCTGTGGTATAGGATTGCCACAAATCCCCACTCCACAGAGTTTAAAGACCCTGAAACTCTAGAACATAGGTTATTAACTTAAAAACGAGCTTTTCTCCTCACTTCCCCTTCCTCCACCTTATTGCATATATGCCCTTGTTGGGTGGGAACCATTTCCCCCTTCCCCCCAACTCTTGTTCCCAGTCTTATAATGGTGATATCCTCCCCTAGCCCACTTCGCACCGCCTATCCCCACACCAAACATGTTGTTAGGCATTTGGAATTCACTGCTCTGACCAATAAGTTATTGACTGGCCCAACTTCCAGCCTATGTAGAATCCTCAACACAAATGCACAAACTCAGGTACGAATCCGCAGAGCAGAACTTAGTGTCAGCACTCCTAGCACTTCTCTGCGCCCCAGTTCTGATGCCTGTCCATATTTCAGCAATTTAAGATTCAACTGGTATAAATGTGAATCTCTCTCATTCTCTTATTCACCTACTAAAGCACTCTTTTTGGCCGCTGAGGGGTTAAGGAAGTAGGCTTCATCCCCATCTACTCAAACCTCCCTGGGTTCAAATCCTCCACCCAATTCCTAGTTGTGTGATCCTGGGTAAATAATTTAACCTCTCTGTGGCTCAGGATTAAAGGAGGATTAAATGTGTACAGTGTTTAAAACCAGTTCTGGCATATGGTAATTGCCTAACAAATAATAACAATACTACTACTTATTATTATTAGGTTAATTGCTGCCTAATATATTCATTAAGTTCCCAAATTGCAATCTGTGGATCACTATAAATCTTTTTAAGTATCTGGGAGTTTCCAAGATATCTTGGTGTTTCAAATTCATAACAGAAATTTGATATTTACCTAAGATGAAGCTAATTAAAATATCACATATATTTCCTTTTAGCTAGAATTATATCAACTTGTGATTACAATACATATCTCATGCTGGTCAAATTCTCTAAGTAGCAGTTTTATGTTTTTTGTTTTTTTGCTTAATAAAGTATGGGAAATAAACTATGATAAAATATAGTTTAATAGTTATTATTATTCACAGTGTGGAGTTCACAAAGACAAATAATTGAAGGAATCCTTGGTGGTGAAGTTGGGAAGTACTCTCCTTATAATAGGTGATGCACAGTAGTGTGTACTCCCAAAGAAACAGTCTTTTTGAGCCAACAAGATGCCACAGTAATTCCCAAAAGACAAGTTTTGCTACAGCTGGGGTATGCTGAAGTATCTCAACGGGTATCTTTATAAAATCTGTCAGTCACTTTAATAGAAAAAAGTCAGTATCATGCAGCACTTTAGGCAGTAAGGATGGCAGAAATCAAACAAAGACGGCAGTTAAAACTAATTCTCTGGTGTATTGGGGATGGTGTGCTAAAATGGTCAAGACTGTCAATTTGATTTTTATGCCATTTAATTACATTGACCCCTTTTATCCTTCACCGTGGGCTGCTCATTGCGGTGGCTTCTCTCACTGCGGAGCACGGGCTCTAGGCGCTTGGGCTTCAGCAGTTGTGGCACGTGGGCTCAGTAGTTGTGGTGCACGGGCCTAGTTGCTCTGTGGCATGTGGGATCTTCCTGGACCAGGGCTCGAACCCGTGTCCCCTGCATTGGCAGGTGGATGCTTAACCACTGCGCCACCAGGGAAGTCCTTCATTGTAGTTATACTGAAGCCAAATTACTATAGGGAGAACATTTGTTTATGATGGGGATTTTGTTTATTCCAAACCTCAGTCCTTCAGATGGTATAAAGAAATCATGCCTTATCAGGGCTCAAGGGAATATAGAGATCATCCAGTTTAATCTCCTCACTACAGATGAAAAATCTGAAGCACAGAGAGCTGGGGGGTATATGCCCAAGAGGACACAGCTAGTAAGTAACAAAAATCTCCTAACTTTGAGCAAGAGATCTTTTGGTGAATCTATGAATTCAAGTATTCAATTCAATTCAATCGTAGTTCAGTGAACTATGATTCAAGAATATTAAACCAACAGATTGCTCAACCGTT